CGAATTTCCAATATCAGCCGAAACCAGGAGCCCGTCCCACGTGAAACCCAACCATTGTGAGGGCACTTGCACCCCGTGACACAGATCACTGCTGTCAGGCTCCACGAGGGATTTGGGGAGCAGCCCTTGTCCCCTGGAGGCAGATGCCACTCACTGTCCTGCCAGGGCACCCTAGTGGCACTTGGGCATCGCTCCCCTTGCAGGCCTGGGCACCGTGAGCTGCCCCCCCACAGGTTTTGGGGAACAAAAAGGAGGAAAAACAGGAATTCAGGGCCCAGATGTCACATGTAGGGGCTACACAAGAGCTCCAAACCCTGCCCAAGGCTTTCCCTGTTGGCTGAGGAATGAGGATGCAATTTGGGACTGCTGACAGTCCCTAATGAGCGGAGCCGGAACACAAAAAGAGCAATAATGTGAGTCAGGGATACGGGAATAAAACTCATGCAACAGTTCCTGCCACTGCCGCCGGGCCACACGAGGAGCATCCTCAAACAGGACTGGTTACCCTCTTGTTCTGCTGGTCCTCTCCTCTTCCTGGTATCTATTGTCTTGGTTTAAATCTTCTGAGAGTCTCCTCATTCTTCTGGGCAGGTGACACAGAGGTGACAGTTGCAAAACATTTGGTGGCTCATCCACCAGCCTGTGGAGACCTTGAGCTCGGCTTTTCCTCTGGTTTTATGCCCAGTTTCCTCCAGAAAATTCCTGGAGCGAGAGGAAAGGTCTGGTGTGGGTGACGTGAAGATAGAGAGGAATGGAAAATACTCTGGAAAACAAGTTTTGAAAGGCAGATGCTGCTTCATGCAAAACAGCCCGACTTTCTCCCCCACCAGTCTGAAAACGTGTGAATTTTTGGCACGTTGCAAAACTTGCCCAGTTCTGGCAACTTGTGCCAAGGTGTGACCACACACCCGGCGTGGGTCCCCTCCTGCTGCACGTGGGGCCTGGCAGAGGTGACAGCCGGGGCAAGGACGGCGTTTCCAAAGCCCGGTGGGTGCAACCAGGAACTGCCTGAGGAGGAACGAGCCGGGAGGGGCTCGGGAAGGGCCCACCCGGCAATTTCCAGGAGCGGGAAAGGCGAACTCAAGCCGCTGCTTGTGGCAGGTGTGTCACCAGCTGTGGCGAAACCGCCCCTCAGCCGGGGATAAAAGGGCTGCCCGGGCTCCGGGAGCACAGAAGGGACCTGCTCTCTGCACACCCTCCTCGAGACCAGGGTGAGTGGGACCGGGAGGGCCTCCAAGGGACACGGTGAGGGAGACGCAGTTTTGGACGTGGACTCGGTCCAGCGGGGTGGTTTCTGCTCAGGGCAGGGGAGGAGGCTGGTTTGGGCTGCAAAACAAGGATAAATTCTTGCATTATATGGAATATATATAATATATAATGCATGTGTTTTATTACAATATATATATGTGATAATATATGTTATATATTATATATATTAAAATAACATAATATAGGTATAATTTGGCATAATATATAATATAACATAATATATATAATGTATTATATATTATATAGTATATATTATATATAGAAATAACACAATATATATTTTGGTATTACATATAAAATAGAACACAGTCTCTGGGGCCGGGCAGGGGCAGCTCCCCCTCCCTGGGGTGCCTGATTTTGAGCCCATTTCACAGCTTTGAGGTGTTTCCCAGTTTCTGCAGGTACCTCCTGAGCTCAGCCATGTCTGCCAGCACCCACAGCCACGCCGAGAGCCGGCAGTTCCCTGGGAATTGCACCCTGGAGAGGGCCCTGAAGACCATCGTGGACGTTTTTCACCGTTACAGCGTCCGGCAGGGAGAGCTCGACCTCCTCAGCTTCAACGACTTCAAAACGCTGATCACTGAGCAGGCCCCCACCTTCCTGCAGGCCTGTGTGAGTGCCAGAGGGGCTCCCTGGGGGAGCATTCCCTCGGGATGTGCCGGGGGACGAGGCTGAGGTGGCTCTGAGGGAATGGGGAGCGGGTCCCACCATGGCAGTGGTTCACTGTGGTCAGACTTGTGGGGCCACCTGAGCTCTCTCCTCCAGCCAGAGGGACTCGGGACAAGTGTCCATTTAGGGCTTAATTAGGGGCTAATTGCACTGTAGGAGAGGGTCATGATGTCCTGCAGATCCAGACACATCCCGGGGCATGGAAGGACCCAGCTGGCTCTGTCTCCACTGGTGGATTCAGAGCCAGGGGAGGGGATGCACTAAAACCTCTCCTGTCCCCCAATTCCAGGGCAGGAACCAACGTGGTTACTTGGACAAGATCTTCAAGGAGACTGACCTCAACAAGGACAAGGAGCTGTCCTTCGAGGAGTTCAGCATCGTCCTGGCCAAGGTGGCTGACGACGCCCATCGCATCAGCCACGGCTCCGACCGCTGCGGGCCCGACCAGGACTGAGCCTCAGCTCCCCCCATGGAACACCGGGAGCGGGCTGCTTTAGGAACGGGGCTCTGGGTGCTCTCTGCCTGCTGGGATCCCTCACGCCTGTGAGACAATAAAGCATCACTTGAAATCCACCGAGTCCTTCCCGTGCCAACAATTCCTTCCGCATCCCACGGCTGGGGGGGAGGGTGGGCACTGGTCCTGGGGGATAACCCAGGGGGTGACAAGCCCTGCTCTTCCCTCTGCCCACATCAGCCCTTAAAAGTGTGTTTTGAAAGAGTTTTGCAACCCTTGCCAAGCTCGGGGTGCCCTGCCAGGGCTCAGCTCCTCAGGGCACAACCAACCCTGGGCACCTGGAAACACATCCTGAGTTCCCCAGACCCTCTCAGTTCCTCCAGTGAGCAGATCCTTGCCTGACCCTGCCGGCCTTGGGGACGGGGTTGTAGGTGGACAGGGGGCTGTGCAAGTCCTGTGCGAGGGGGGCTGCAGAGCCAGCAGAAAGTTGTGCCAGGACATGTTCCTGGGACCCTCAGCACTGCCCGGGCTCCCCGGTCACCCCAGGTCACAACCAAACATGCAGAGGCTCATTCCTCTTGCCTGTGGGCACATCCAAGGATCCAGCCACTATCCCACCTTGGAAACCTCTCCCACACCCTTGTTCTTCCCCACCTCCAGGGTGATAAAGTGACCAAAAGGGGGGTTTCCTGATATTGCTACAAAATTCTGCAATGCCGGGGATGGTCCCGGACACCCTGTTGTGAAACAGCCCAGACCTTCTCCAGACCTTCTGAGCATCAGAACACCCCTGTTGTGAAATGCAGAGCACCCCCAGTGAGGGCTGGAGCCCGGGGGGGCTGTTGTATCACAGAATCATTCCCAGAATCACTGAGGATGGAAAAGCTCTCCAAGGTCATCAAGTCCCACCTTTGACCATCTCCCAGAGCACTCAGTGCCACATCCAGTCCTTCCCTGGGCACCTCCAGGGCTGGGGACTCCACCACCTCCCTGGGCAGCCCCTTCCAAGGCCTCACCACCCCTTCCAGGAAGAAATTCTCCCTGAAAAGCAGTTTGTAGACCAAGGCTGCACCTCTGAGCAGCTCCCTGCACGGTGCTGCCCCACATCAGCTCCTCTGGAGCTCCTGGAACTCGCCCCAGGCCTGTCCATGGCCCTGTTTTGGCCTCCACTTTGTGTCTGAGACCAACACAATGCTTGGCAGGTTAAACAAACCCCAAAACGAGTCTGCTGAGTCAGCAGGCAGCGCTTTTTGATGAAGAAACACTGGAAAGTCTCGTTTTGCTCCCAAACTTGGCAGCTCCGAAGCCAAAGCGCCTGCGCTGGGTCTGTGCCACGCTGAGAGACAACAACAACAAAAGCCACAGAGTGAGGACAGAGTCCCAAAATGTGCAAAAAAAATAAACACCTTTCAGCCAGACCTGGTCTGTACAGCTCAGAGCACACCTGGGGTGGGGACAATCCACCCCTGGAGGTGAAATGGAGCTCCTGGAGCCCTGCCAGGCCAGGCACACGCCCTGGATTATGTGTCTGTCACGGAAAGACATTTGCTGCAGGCAGGGGATGGTCCCTCAGTGCCACCTCTGTGCCCGTGTCACACGGGCAGCCCTGGCACTGCTGCCAGGCCTGTGCTTGTGGCACTCGCTGCTCTGGGTGGAGACAGATGGGTCAAAGGTTGGATCTGATGATCTTGGGGGGCTTTTCCAACGTAACAAAGCACTGGGACCCTTCGGGGTGCCCCAGCTCTGCAGGGATGGGGACACTCACTGGAGAAGGGCAGGAATGATGGTGTGGGTGCCCTGTGGCACCAGAAGACACCCCTATGAATGGGCAAAACCAGGTGAAGTGGAAGAATCCCAAGGGAACGGACTTTTGGCAAGAGTTGGTGGAGAATTGATCACGATTTTCCCACATTTCCTCATTTCCCACATGCTGGGAAGGAGGGAACAGGGTGAGGGCAAAGTTCACAGCTCAAACCTCAACCAGGTGAAGGGGACCCACCTGAGGGGACATTTCCATGCCCTGCCCACCCCCTGCCACCCCAGTGGAGTCTGTGACACCCCGACCTTGCGGGAAAAGCCACAGAGACCCTTTTTAAGGAACTGCCCCCGAGCCTTAAGCAATGCCCAGTGTGTCATGAGCATGGACTGGAACTGGATGAAACAGGGACATTTCACAACCTTTCATGGTCAGGGTATAAGAGACCCCTCGCTTGGGACCTGCCCCACACCAGCCCCAGGGGATCTCACTCGGCTGCCAAGATGAGCAAGGTAAGTCCAATGTGCATTTAAGGTCTCTTTTCCAGGTGCTGGTTGGGCCACCAGAGGTGTGAAGACCCTCAGGGAGCATCTCATCATGACCTGCCATCGGTTGCTGGCAGAGCACAACCAGTTCCACTCAGGCTCATCCCACAGGGATGTTTTCTCCTGGAGGAGGTTCCCCCCTGGCACGTTCTGACCACCAAAGGGGCTCCAGGACATCAGATCTTGTGCTCTGTATCTCTCCAGAGGTTTTTGGGGTGCTACCAGCTGGTTTGGGAGCTTCAGCAGTGCCAGGAAGGAGGCACATTTCGAGGGAAAACCCCCTGGCCGTGTCCTTACCGCCCTGCTTATGGCAGATTTCCACACCCATTGTGGCTCCTGCTGTTATTTGGTGCAACCCTTTCTCTTCCAGAGCTCCCAGAGCCAGGAGCAGCTCTCCGAGCTGGAGAAGGCCATGGATGTCATCATTGATGTCTTCCACCACTACTCCAGGCGGGAGGGGGACAGGGACACCCTGACCAAGAAGGAGCTGAAGCTCCTCATTGAGAAGCATCTTGCCAACTACCTGAAGGTGAGTGGGCCCAGAGCAGGGTCCACATGGGGAGGGAGCTGGGCTGGACCCCCCTAACCCGGATATCTCCTGCCCAACCCTCCCTGTCCAACCTCCCCTTTCCAAACCTGCTCCATAAAGTCAGAGGAAGGAATCCCACCCAGGTCTGGGTGAACCTGCAGCTGGGTATTGACCCTCATCCCCTCCGCAAAAATCAGGGTTAGGCTGCCCAGGAGCTCCTTTGCCATCTGGAAATGGGCTCAGAAACACCACCCCCAAATCCCACTATTTTTGTGACTCCCTTTTCTAGTGTTGAGTGAAGGGTTTTTTCGCCCAAGGAGAGGTTTGAGCTGTGAGTGATGCTCCCCCTCACCCTGTCCCTTCCTCCTCTGCAGCACGTGAAGAACAAGGCCACCATCGACGAGATCTTCAAGGACCTGGACATCAACAAGGACTCCCAGGTCAGCTTCTGCGAGATGATGCTGCTCGTCGTCCGCGTCACCAGCGCCACCCACGAGCACCTGCACGAGGTGGAGGACCAGCAGCACCAGCACCAGCACCAGCACCACCAGCAGCACCAGCACCAGCACTGAGCTGGGCTCGGCCCCTCGGCCGCGCTGCAGCCCCTGGTTTCCTCCCCCCCATGGAAAGTTTCGGGCTGGGAAAGGCTCCAGGATCAAACCCAACCTCGGACCACCCCTCTCTGCCCACCTCCCTCCCCCCCTTCTGCAAAGTGTGGTGGGTTTGCTGCCAAATAAAGATTTGCCCTGAGGCTGCCAAAGCTCTGCTGTGTCTGTGTGGGTTTTCCTCCAGGCGAGTCCTGCACTTTCCTCTCTCCTTAAACCCCGCAAATCCGGGGGGGGGAAATCCTTGGAGACAGGCTCAGGGGAGGTGGACGCGGGGGAAGTTCAGGGTCCCCTCCAGCAGGTGCTCAGGATGCTCCAGGTATCACAACGTGCCCCAGGGGTCACAGAAGACACTAAAATTTGACATTTTCAGCTAGAAAACAACCCCATTTAGGCCTGAAAACACTCCACAGTTCTCCTTGGAGCAAGCTGTGGTGGTGGGCAGGAGCTGGAAGGATGGGTGGGGATGGATAAACACTCTTTTTGGGAGGAACACCCTTTTTAGGGCAGTTTTGCTCCATATGGGGGTGGACATGTTAAGTTTTGGGGCTGCATCCAATAGTAAGGTCCAGCCACTGGGTTTTGTGGGGACAAGAGCCCAGAACAACCCCAACTCCTCCCTCAGAACATCCCAAATTGCCCTGGGAAGGTTCATCTGTCATTAATCAGCTGCTTTCCAGAGAGAAATTCGGGCTGGAACCACCACCAGAGCTGCTGAGCAGCCGCCCAGGCACTCTCAGAGCCTCATTTCCAACATCTTCAGGGGGAGGAAAAGGAACAGTTGTGATTTCCCAAGGCTGAGTCAAAGCCCTGAAATCGCCCTGCTCTGGGAAGGAACCTTCCAGAAGCTTCCCCAAAGCAGCTGAGCTGAAGCAAGACCTTCCCCCCCCCCCCCCCCCCCGGTTAACACAAGACCACCACAAGTTGCCTCACCCAGGTTGCTTCAGCTTCCTTTGGAGCCAGTTTTGACATCTGAGGGGTCAAACACCTTCTGAGAAGGTAAAATCTGCCCCAGGGCCCAGAGTTCCCTCAGCCCTGCACAGGGTGGCAGATCTTGAGCCACATCTGCATCCCACCACCCAAAACAGCTCATACACCCCATCCTGCAGCATTCTGGGGTCTCTGGAGCAGGAAGAGCCCCCCACACCCAGTGGAGCTGCTCCAGTGCCACCACCCTGCAGGGCAGAAGGACATGGACCCCGAGAACCAGGGCTGGTGATCCTAAGGGACAAGGGTGGTTTGGGTGCCTTTGCAGCACATCAGTTTTTGGGGGCTCAGAACCCTCTTTGGGGGTGTCCAGCCCTTCTGGTCCCTGCACAACCCACCCCAGGACCTTCCCCAGGACTGATGCAGGAACCAACCTCGGAGATCGGGGTGTTGGTGCAACAGGATGTTTGCCAACACAGCAGGGGCTGCAGTGTGGGGTGGGGGGACTCCTGTTGTGTCACCCAGGGGCTGTGGGATCAGGTGGGGTGCAGAATGAGCCCCCCCCACACCCTGAGTGGTCCCCAAATCCTTATGGATCGTTTCACCCCAAGGAGCTCCCCAAAAGAGGGGACACCGAGCAGGTGATGATACCCCCCAGCCACAGGAGCCAGGAGCACAGGAAGGGGGGGAGCCCCAAATCCCGCCTCCCTCCACCCCCAGGTGAGGATTCGCCACCCCCGGAGGTGTCCAGGGAAGGACTGGCAGTGGCACTGAGTGTTCTGGGCTGGGGGACAAGGTGGGGATGGGACACAGGCTGGACTCGATGGTCTCAGAGGTCTTTTCCAACCTAAAATATTCCGGGATTCAGGTTCCTCGAGCCGAGGACCGGCCTCCTGCTGCCACCTGGTGGGATGTGACACCGCGGCTCTTGGAGAGGCCACCAAGTCCTGCCCGAGCTCCCCAGGGACGCTGCGAACCCACCGACCTCGGGCACAGCCCCATCCCGTGTCCCCCCGTCCCTGTTCCTCCTCCACTAGCGCTGTTCCAACCCCCCCTGCCCGTCCCCGTGAACCACCTCCCTCTGCAGCCCCCCGACCCCCCAGCACAGGAGGGCACGGGGGGTGGTGCAATGCCCCAAACTCTGCCAAAGGGGGACTTGGACGCCCTTGGTCACCGTCAGTCCCAACACTCCCACGGGGATGAGCCACAGGGGGTAAAACTGGTCGTTCTGGGGGGCCGGTGAGGTCTGGGGCCAGCAGCTGACCCAGCATCGGCGGTAAAGCCACGCCCGGAGCCCAGCAAAGCCCGGCTTAACGCTGCTGTGGATGGGGACGTGTCACCAGGGGATGGCACCGTGGTGGCAGCGGGATGGAGGGAGTAGCTGGAGGAAGGGGCGGGCTCCGAGTGACTCAGAGCAATTTTCCCCATAATTCCCCTCGTTCAGACACGTGCTAATTGGGGTGGGGGGAGGAGTACAGAGGCTGGAGGGGGTCACTGCCCTCCCAACCTCCTCCACAAGTGTTTCCTGTGGGTCTGGTCAACCCATGACCACCTCAGTCCTGGGGTCCTTCCCGCACCATCCTCTGGCAGAGCTGCTCTTCCTTCCCACAGGGACAGGGACCCCCCAACACAAAGCCTTAAACCCCTTAAATGTGGCCATGGGGGATCCCAGCCCTCGAGAAAACCCCTCCTGTCCTGCCTTCCACCAAGGCCCTGGCCAGAAGCAGCAGGAGCTCGGGCTCCTGGCATTGTCTGTCTCGGGGGGGTTCGTGCTCAGCCCTGGCAAGGCTGCACCCCAAAAGTTTGCGGGTTAAGCGGTGCTGTTGCCTGTGCCCGGTCGCCCAACCACCCCAAATCCAGCCCTGAAGGGAGTCCCACGGCTCTGGGACTCCCCCAAAACCTCCAAGGACCTCTCAGGTGTGAGAGCAGCCCCTGGGCTGAGGCAGCTTCCCCAAAATCCTGCGTGTGCCGGGACCTGCAGGGACTTGCTGCCTCTCGCCTCAGCGTGCCGGGGGAAATTCCGCTCCAGCCCGCGGTCTGCATCTCATTTCCAACCCCTTCCCCGCCGAGCCGCGCCGGTGGTGCCGGTGGGCGGCACAGCCCGGCTCCAGCAGCGCCTCCCCTCCCAAAAACGCTGCCACAACCCGGCCCCGCCAACGCCCCCGGGGGGCTGAGGGGGCACCGACCTCATCTGCCTCCGTCGCGTATCTGGGAATCTGGGAAGGTGCCTGAGCCCTTAATGAGAGCTGGCACACCCCGCGGGGCAGGGAGGGCTCCTCCCGCCCCTGCCCAGCTGAGCAAACCCGCGGTGGGGACTCGGGGACCACACAGAGAGCCCGGAGTCTGTCCTGGTGCTGCTGCTGGAGCCTCCTCAGAACCCGGGGCTGGGGCTTTGCCCGGAGCCCTGGGGCAGCCTGAGCCCAGCAGGGCTGAAATCCCTCCTGTGCCGTGCCCTGATGGGCTCCACGGGCTGAAATCCCTCCTGTTCTGTGCCCTGATGGGCTCCACGGGCTGAAATCCCTCCTGTTCTGTGCCCTGATGGGCTCCATGGGCTGAAATCCCTCCTGTGCCACACCCTGATGGGCTCCATGGGCTGAAATCCCTCCTGTGCCATGCCCTGACGTGCTCTAAGGGGCTGAACCTCAGCCTGGCACCGAGGGCACACACCAGGGTGGGCAGTGACTGGCCCTGTCCCATCGGGGTGTCCAACGAGTGACTCTCCCATGGGAGGTTGTTCATAACCCCCCTGGCCACGGCCACCTGGGTGTCACTGGGTGTCCCCACTGTCACCAATGCCCTGGGCTCCTTGCCCTGCCCTTGCCCAAACTGGGCAAATGTGGGGGCAGTCCGGGCCCAGAGGCAGCTCCCAGGACATGTGGGACAGCCTCAAAAATCAGATGAAAGCTCCTTTTCTGCAGGAATTGTTTTGGTCTCTGACATTTTCTAAGCTTCAGCATCACAAAGCCCCTTGAACTCACAAACAACTTTGGTTGTAAAGGAAAAAAAAAACCATTTAGGGGATGAAAAATGCAAAGTTTTATGCACGAAGAGAACCTCTGGTCGGGGTTTTTTTGGGGATCCAAGGAGGTGTTCCCAGTGCACAGCCAGAACCACATGCTGACCTACATACACCTTCCCAGGTGTGCTGGTAAACATCCTCGGAGGAGCAGGATAATGAGGGAGGCTCCCTGGGAAGAGCAGCAGTGTGGGGAGAACAGGACTGACCAGAAGGGATCCTCACCCTCCACCCACTCCCCGCAGCCTGCAGGGCCGGGGCAGAGCTGCTCCCACCATCCCATCTCTCCCCTCTGCACCAGCGCCTGGTGGACACAGGTGAGTCTCCCCCGGTCCTTTCTGGGCTTGAAACCAGCTTTTGTGTTTCCAGGGTTATTTTGGAACCAGTTCTTCCCAGCGGGGCTCGGGTGGGAAGGACGAGATCAGCTCCCAGGAGGGTGTGAGGACACGGCTCTTCCCTCCCCTGCACGAGCTGATTCATCCACCCCAAGTGCCTGAGATGGCCACGGGGAGACTCTTCCCTTTAATTTAACCAGGCAGTTAAAATTCAGCCGAGACCCACCAGGGAAAGTGGAGAAATGGAGGGAATTGAGGTGAAAGTCCTCAGAGGAGTCAGGATGGGCAGCCCAGCAAGGGAAAGGTGCTTTTTACCTCTGGCAAGAAAAGGTTCAGAAAGATTTGACCTGAACTGAACATTCTGTGGGAATGGAACGGGGGGGGTTTCCTGCAGGCACAGCTGCCCCTGCCAACTGCTGTGGCCTCAAGTTTTGCTGCTCTCCAGGACTGGAGACATGTCCAAGCTCATTAAAGCCATCACTGACATGCTGGAGAGTTACCAGGGCAGTACCAGGAAGGGGAGGAAATCGGAGACGTTCAGCAGGAGCGAGTTCAAGAAGCTGATCCAGCAGGAATTTGCCCCTGTCAAGGTAAATCTACAGGCTTGGGGGTGCCAAGATGTGTGGGAGAGGTGCTGGGGTGATATTTAGGGGTGCTCAGGGGTGCTGAGGGGGCTGCAACACCCACCCCACATCCAGGGCTGGAGTGGGATCTCTCCAGTCTTTGATTTTCCCGGGGTTGTGCATCGTGGCTGATTTCCTTGGGCTTCTGTTGCAAAGCTCCCGTTCCCCCTCCTGGTCCTGCAGTCCCCATTTTCCTGCAGGGAATGGGACACTGAGGATGGGGTGCCTGGTCCCCCCCCAGCTCCATTTCCTCCCTGGGCAAATCCAGGTGTAATCCCAGGCTGTGACCCCTTGGCTCTGGACCCCGTGCCCCCTCTTGTGCCTGCTGCTCCTTTTCCTTGCTTTGCCCTTGCACTGAGGGCACCCAGCCCTCGCTTCTGCCCCCTTTGGGAGGGGCTGATGGGCTCCTGTCCCCTCAGAGGTCGCCCACCAGCAGGTACAGGTACATCCCCCGCTCCTCGGACCCGGACACCGAGCCCATGAACAAGAAGGAGAGGGGCAAACGCTGCGTGTACTGAGGGGCACCTCCACCACTCCCGGGGCCCAGAGGGAGCAGGTAAGGACAGCTCAGGGAGCTCACAAAGCTCCTGCACAACATTTGCATGGACTCATTAGGAGGGGACAGAGACATCATGGGACCGGTGTCACCCCGAGGTGACAAGACTTCACCCCCAGTCCATCAGGGGGGTGGGATCCACAGATTCCCAGAATATTCTGAGTTGGAAAGGACCCACAAGGATCATCAAGTCCAAGTTTTAAGTGGATGGCCCGTGCAGGGATGAATTCCAGCTCCACGGGGGCTCAGAGAGCACCCGGTCAGCTCTAATTAAAATTGCACAGAGTTCTTGGGCACAGATTTAGTGCAAAGCAGAGGAGTTGGGTAAATGAGGGCTGGGGGGAGGGATGTCACCCCCAGCAGGATTTTGGGACAGTCATGAGTGAAATCCTCCATGGGTTTTCCTCCCTTTCTGCAGGACCCCTGAATTGCTCTGTGGGCCAAGGGCAGTGGCAGCAGCACAGTGGGATCACTCTGAGCCCTGGGATCCCCTGGGGTCCCCTCTCGGGCTCCTCCAGTGCTGGCAACACCCCAGGAGATGTGCAGACCACGCCCTGCTCCACCTATTACCTCCATGAGGCAAAAAGGGTCTCTTGTTTGCCCCTGATGCTCCTCGGGTGTCTCTTTGGGGTGCTTTAAAAATGCAGCTTGAGGGCTGGAGGGGGGGGGTGAGGCCAGATCTGTTCTTCTCTTCTCCTAAACACAATGCCAGAGCACGAGCTGAAGTATCAACCCCTTCATCCAGGTTTTTAATGGGGAGAAAGTGAAAAATCTCTGGTTAATGGGGCTGGAATGAGCCATGCAATTAGTTGACTCAGATTGTAGAGCAATAATGAACAAAGAGTGGCAATTCCTTGAGGAAAATTAAAGGCTTGTGGTTGGGAGCTCATCTCCAGCTCACTTGGAGCCAGCAGCAAAATTCCCATGGGTTTGGAGAGGTGGACACACTGAAAATAGACCTCACCTGCATCTGCTCCCTCAGCTGTTCAGGGGTCGGTCCATCAGCCCCTCACTGTTTCGTTGTAAATATCCAAAAAGTGGCTTTTTTTCTGGCTTATTTTGCTCCTTCTTACCCAAATGGTTGTAAGACCATAAAAACTCCAATAAAAACGGTACCAAGTGATGCCTGTCCGACTTTTATGAGCCTCACACTGATCACCAGGAGCCTCCAGGAGCAACTGGGAGGTTGTTCAGAGCTGTGGTGGTGGGGAAGCCCCGAGGGGACGGGGCAGGGTTGGAAAGGGGGTCTGGGGGTACCAGGGATCCCCACAAGGGGCACCACACCCCGGTGTGGGGCCCGGGCAGGACCTGCCATGGGGTGGGGAGAGGTTTTTGTGCTTCTCCACCACGTAGGACCTTGTTCCCAGGGGAGGGGAGCAGCTGAGGGAGGGATGATCCACACGGGCTGTGGTCGGTCATCGGAGCATCCCGAGGGCTCGGGGAGGAACCAACCCCATTGATTCTGTGCTGCTGAGCCCAAGGAAACGCCAACACACGAGAGAGCTTGGGAATGGAACACTTTATTGGGCACCTCCTGGGGCCAAAGCACAGCCTGGGGTGTCAGTGGTGCCCCTTCCCCAGGGAGCAGCAGCTCCGGAGGGCGCGGGAGAGGGTTTGTCAGCCGGGCACCCCGGGGCTGGCAGAGCTCTGGGAGGTGGGAGGCAGCTGATCCAGGCATGGACCCCCATCACTTCGTCTTCTGCTGGGGCACCTGGGGTATCTGCTGCTGCTGCTGCTGCTGCTGCTGCTGCTGGACCCGAATCTGGGGCTTCCCGTGGCAGCCGGAGCTGCCGGAGCTGTGACAGCCCCCAGAGCTGCCACCGGAGCTGTGACAGCCACCACCCCCGGAGCTGTGGCAGCCACCACCACCCCTGGAGCTGTGGCAGCCCCCAGAGCTGCCCCCGGAGCTGTGGCAGCCCCCAGAGCTGCCCCCAGAGCTGTGGCAGCCCCCACCCCCGGAGCTGTGGCAGCCCCCGGAGCTCTGGCGGGTGTAACTGTGGCACTGGTCCTTCTCCTGCCGGGAGCACATTGTCCTGTGCTGGGGGGACCTGTGGGGAGAGACAGGAACCATCAGGGGCTGCTGCAATCCCACCATCCCCATTGTCCCACTGCCCCCGTTGTCCCAGTGCCACCATCCCGGTGTCCCCGTGCCCGCCCCCTTTGCCATCCCACCCTTGGTGCTGATGTGCAGGATCCCAGGAGATGCCTCCCAGGATCTGGAGCAGTGTCCTGCATCCAGGACGGAGGATTCCATCCCTTGGGAGCAGCAGCACGGCCTGACCCAGCCATGGGACAGGTCCTTGTCTTCCTCCCTGCATCCCACACCCCGTGAGCATCCCCTGCCCAGCGCTCCGAGCTCTGCTTCCTTCGCTGGGAAATGATTCCCCAAGGAAGGAAAACCCAGACTTACCTGAGCTTGAAGGAAAAGCAAGAGGAGGGAATGAAGGTGCTGGGCCAGGAGCAGTTTTATAGAGGTGCCAGATGGTTTTCCCGGAAATGAGACAGGTCCCTGTCACAGGGATCTGTTAATTTATCACCCAATCCCCATCCGACCGCCCTGTGTGTACATCGCCCTCCTGACTCATGAGTGATGGATATCATTCCTTTTTTATCTGTTTCCTGTGCCACATAAGTGTCTAATTGCCAGCCTCACCTGCCTCTAATAGGAAAACCCGTGGGTGCCTGGATTTCCAAAGCCTCGTCTGCTTGGGATTTGTTTTGTGAAATTAAGCTCAGGCTTAATTATAGACCCATCTCCCGAGGCTCTGCTGCCAGAGCCTAATCCCTGCAGTGGAGCCAGCACCAAATAAAGCCAGGAATAAGCCAGGTAAACACAGAGGAAAGTGGCTCTCCCTTCTCCATGAGATGCTCCATCTGAAAGCTGCCACAGTCGTGGGAACAACCAGTGGGATGAGGGCAAAGTCCTCCTGGGTTTCCTCTGGAGAAGGGTCTCACATCATCATCAGGGGTTTCTAGAACCCTCTTTGACCTAAAAGACTGTGAATTCCCCCCAAAATGCAGCAAGAGGAGGGTGTTGGGGGCTGTGGAAAGCCTTGCAAGCCCTGCTGTGTTCACACAGACCTGAGCAAGGTGACCAGGCCGAGCCATTTCCACCTCCTTAATGACAAAGGTCATTGAATGAAGGAACTAAAATGAGGAATTAAAGGACCCATTTGGTGCTCCCTGCTGGAGCAAAGCCAGAGCTCTGGAAATGTCCCTCCTGCACATCCCTGTCGGGGTTGGAAACTGCCCAGCACTTCACCACCCCACAAACTGCACTGACCTCTAAAGGCCACAGCTCCTTTTTTATGGGATAAAGGCAAGGAAAAGTCTGGGACACAGAAGACAACGTTGGGAGCTGCACAAACAAACGGGGACATCCCCGTGTTGCTGCTCATATCCAGGATTTGGGATGCTCAAGCTGCTCACACCCCAAGTTTGGGATGCTTGAACTGCTCATCAGGAGCCTCCACCTGGTGGTGGTGGGTGTGGCTCTCACTGGGAGGTCGGAGCTGGGGAGGATTGCAAAGCTCTCCCCTGACCCCGCAGACCTGTGGCTCACCCAGCACCAAATCCAGCTGCTATTTTCCTTGCTGACTGTCACTGAGGTCATGGAATTCCCTCCAGAACCCGGTGGCTGTGGCAGTAACTGGCAGAGGAACTGGGAAAACACCCACTCAGGGCCAGGTGAGTGCTGGGGCAGGTCCCTGCCTGCACCAGGGGCCAGTTCCTGCCCTGTGTCCCCGTTGGGCTTTGGCTCTTGCTGTGACATCCCTGTCACCCCCTGAACAATCCCCAGGGACTCGAGGACAAAAGCATTTCTGAGCACTGTGGGGCAGCCTGGTTTTGTCTTTTCCAGAGGATTTTAAGAGCTGTGGTGTCTTAGAATCATGGGATGGTTTGGGTTGGAAGGGACCTTAAAGATCATCTCGTTCTACCCCCTGCCATGGGCAGGGACACCTCCCACTATCCCAGGTTGCTCCAACCTGGCCTTGGACACTCCCAGGGATGGGGCAGCCACAGCTTCTCTGGGCAACCTGTGCCAGGGTCTCCCCACCCTCACAGGGAACAATTTCTTCCCAGTATCCAACTTAAATTTCCCTTCTTTCAGTCTGAACCCACTCCCCCTTGTCCTGTCACCCCCTATTTCCTTTTTTATTGTGGTTACAGGGAAAACAAATATCTTTGAAGAGGCAAAGCCCGAAGAGGCAAAGGAAAGGAAGCCCAAAACTTAGGATGAGTGATCACTCCAAGGGTTTCCTTGGGATGAGTGGGGTTGGCAGCTGGGCTCCCTTTGCTCAGCCTTTGGGCAAGGGTGTAACACATTCCAGCTCCAAAGCCCCTTCCCTGGTTGCCTCCCTGGCTTGGGAAATCAAGGATGAGGAGTTTAAGGAAATGCAAACGCAAGAGAGATCTTGGGAATGTAACTTTATTGGGCACCTCCTGGGGCCAAAGCACAGCCTGGGGCATCAGCTGAAGGCAGCAGAGAACCACCAGTGATGTCCCTTCCCCAGGTGGCTCCAGAGGTCACAGGAGGGGATTTGGCAGCCGGACAACCCCGGGGCTGGGGAGCTCTGGGAAGGTGGGAGGGAGCTGGTCCAGGTGTGGCCTCTGCAGCTGGAGCTGGGGCTGTGGGACTCCCATCACTTCGTCTTCTGCTGGGGCACCTGGGGCACCTGCTGCTGCTGCTGCTGCTGCTGCTGGACCTGTATCTGGGGCTTCCCGTGGCAGCCGGAGCCGCCGGAGCTGTGACAGCCCCCAGAGCTGCCACCGGAGCTGTGACAGCCACCACCCCCGGAGCTGTGGCAGCCACCACCACCCCTGGAGCTGTGGCAGCCCCCAGAGCTGCCCCCGGAGCTGTGGCAGCCCCCAGAGCTGCCCCCAGAGCTGTGGCAGCCCCCACCCCCGGAGCTGTGGCAGCCCCCGGAGCTCTGGCGGGTGTAACTGTGGCACTGGTCCTTCTCCTGCCGGGAGCACATTGTCCTGTGCTGGGGGGACCTGTGGGGAGAGACAGGAACCATCAGGGGCCCTTCCAGGGAAGAGAAATCTGGGTGTACATCCATCCAGTCTTGGCCGGATCCCACAATCCACTTTAAACCTTGTACTGGGTTCTTTCCCCCCCCATGGGATTGTCCCACCAAAGCCCAATCCAGGCCATGCCACCTCAAGCCAACACCCCAGAGTCTCCCTCCAAGTCCAAATCTCTGCTCTCGCTCCTTCAGCAACCCCTGCACTCCCTCCTCACCCACCTCCCCTCTCACAACCACCCTCAGAACAAACCCCAGCCCAGCCCCAGGCATGAGGGTCCAACCCCCCCCCCCCCCCCCACTGAGCCCCGGAGCCCCCAAAATCGCTGCTCTCACCTGAGATGCTCAAGCAGCAAAGACACAAGGAGGGAATGAGGCTTTCTGGGCCAGGAGCACTTTTATACTCTCCCTGCACACCCCACCTGGAAATGAAGCCCCTCCCTGTCTCCGAGCTCTCCCTGTTCAATTCATTCGTCGATGTGGTTTTTTTTCTGCCTCCCCACTCCTCGGGCTCGGGGAGTGACTCACCCCATCCACGCTGGGATTGCCTCCTCTTGTAGGTCGCCTTTCCTGTGCCACAGAAATTTAATTGGCAGCTCTGCCTGAGGTGGCTGCCATGGGGGAGTTGTGTGGGTGGCCCCGGTTTCCACAGCGTGGCCAGGTTGGTTTAGGTGTTGATCACACCTGGGGAGGGCTTTATCTTTAGGGGGGGGAATGATGGCTCATACTTAAATCACAACATCCTTCTGGAAGGTCTTGAGGTTCTCTAGTCCTGCAACCCCCCCTAAACACAGAGATGTGTCTGTAGGTACCAAATAAGGGAGAAGTCTTTGACAGCATCTCCCTCTGTGCTGGGCACTGGGGAGGGAACGTTGGGTGCTGGGTCCAGGTCTGGGTCCCTCAGGGCAAGAGGGACATGGAGGGGCTGGAGCGTGTCCAGAGAAGGGAACGGAGCTGGGGAAGGGGCTGGAGCAGCAGGAGAAGGGTCTGGAGAACTCCTGAGGGAGCTGGGGGGGCTCATCCCAGAGAAAAGGAGGCTCAGGGGGGACCTTCTGGCTCTGGAATTCCCTGACAGGAGGGGGGGGCCGGGGGGGGTCGGGCTCTGCTCCCAGGGAACAAGGGACAGGAGGAGGGGAAACGGCCTCAAACTGTGCCAGGGGAGGGTCAGGTGGGGCATCAGGAGGAATTTCCTCCTGGAAAGGGTGTTCAGGCCTTGGCAGGGGCTGCTCTGGGAGGTGGGGGAGTGCCCAGCCCTGGAGGTGCCCAGGGAAGGAGTGGCTGTGGCACTGAGTGCTCTGGGCTGGGGCCAAGGTGGGGATGGGGCACAGGGGGGACTGGGTGGGTTTGGAGGGCTTTTCCAGCCTGAATGATTCTGGGATTGTGTGGTTTGACTGGTCCCACTGTTGGCTCATTTCCCTTGGAACCATCCAAAACACAGTGGAGTGATGAAGAGAGAGAAAAGATCCCCCCAGACCTCTTTTTGCCGGCCAAAGGTTTTCTGCTGTTGCCAGAAGGACCACAAGCAGTTGGAATTCTTATTTTTGGAAGGGAGAAGCCCTGCCCTGGGTAGCGATCCAGGATTAGCAAGGTGCATAATTATGTGGTTGACTTTCAGCCCATGAGTAATTCCCGAGCAGTGCCGGTGGTTTTATTCCAGGTTTTTATCCCAGCTTTGGTGCTGCCACGTGCAGGACGAGGGTCCCGTGGGTGCTGCCTGTGGTGTCACACCGTGGTTGCCACATTGTGGGGACCTGTCAGACCCCGGGGACTTTCTTGAACTTGTAGGAAGGTCCTTTTTGGGTTTTCCCTGACCCCCAATTAGCTCCTAATTGAGTTAATCCCGGTGCTATTCCGGAGGATGCTCAGACCCACACAGGCCTCCAGGCTGGGCCATGTTTGCAGTGAGAGCTGATCACAAGCAATAATTTGGGATACTCCCTGTACCTTTTCTCTGCGTGGGCTGGGAATTGTTTAGGACCACGGAGCTTGTTGGCCCTTTTCTGTCACTGCTTGTGGAAGATATTTCAGTAATTAAACTGGAAGTTCAGTAATTAAACAGGCAGCAAATAAAAGACTAAACTCAGGATTTCCAGCTAAAGTAAGGGAGCTGCTGGGATTTTGTCAGGGGGAAAGTGCTTGGGAAACACTGGGTGGAAAATATTTCCCTTCCTGCCGAGATGCTCAAGGAGTTGGTATTTTTGGGCCACTTCTCCTGCCTTTAATTTGTCTTTCCCCATGTTGATTAAGGTTTTATGCTGATCCCAGGGAAATGGAGCCTCATCCCACCTTTCCTAAGACTGTTTCACACCCGGCATCCCTTGGGAAGGCACCGAGGTGCCTCTCCTGCCTCTCCTGAGCTCCTGCTTTCAACACAAGTGCCTGACTCTTTGTTAAGTCACTGCGAGTCCTGAGTGGTTCCTGCATCCCAAAACCCATCTGACACATTCGGTGTTCCCGAAGGATTTTTGGAAAGGTGGGAGGACAGGGCAGGGTTAAAGAACCAGGTGAGCAACCTAAATGCTTCTTTTGTATTGCTAAATTGCTGTTACAAACTGGAACAGTGTCAGGGCAAACTGTACCCAGGCTGCTTAATTGTGTTTTGTTCTGGCATCAGAAAAATATGGTCAATATTCTTCGGGAAAAAAAGACTCCAAGTAATTTTTGGCCCCCAACAACTCGCTGTGCTCAGTTCCTCGTGCTGAATTTGTTAATGAAGAGCATCCAGCCAGCTGGCCTGGGCACCTCTAGATTTTGGGTTTGGCCACTTCAAAGTGCCTTGAAAATGGGGTGTGACATGGGGGGGGCTCAAGGCAAATTCCAGAGTCACACCGAGAGCTTTTCCAAAGGATCCCAAAGCAGGGAGTGAGCTGCTGCCTGCACCCTTTTCAGCAATGCCAGATATTTCTGATCCTCCTGACGCACTCGAGAACCATCTTATCAAGGTAACATCCATTTCATGAATGGCAATGCCAGAGCAATAAATTACCCAATTCCTTTTAATTACAAGTTGAGAAGAAATTTGTCAGCGTGTTGTGTAATGCTGACGCCCCCGGCCCGGCCCAGAGCTCCTCAAGGGCTGGGCAGAGGGTTTCTAGAAAGGCTTGCTGGGAGGTTTGCCACCAGCACGTGGAGATACCTCCCCCAGGGTTGGCCTTTTGGGGCCAAAAGGCAAAAAAATGGGGTTCTTTGTCTATGAGACTCTTTCTGCCCCGTGGTTGTGCCCAGAGCCAGCCCTGAGCTGTGCAAGGCAGCCCTTGGGGTCTTGCTGGGGGTTTTGGGTCTCCAGCTGTGTGGGAAGGGGGTGTGGGGGAGAGTTGTCAGCATCTGAAAATCTTTATTGTCTCTTTCTTTTCCTTTGGAGCCCAAAGTGGGGCTGTGGCAGTGCCCAAACCCTGTCTGGGCAGGGCAATGTCAGGGCGTTAAACAAGCACGAGGTGTCTTGTACTGTGACACGAAACACAAGGGGAAAAGAAAATCATCCACACAAAACCCTCCTGAACCCTGAACTGTAGTGTCTAAAAACCCATTCCAAACTCCAGATTGTAATGGCTCAAAACCCCTCCCAAACTCCAGATTTTGGCTCTGTGCAGTCACAGATGATACAGAGAAAACTGTGCCATGAACAGAGAGTTTATTTCAGCACCCACAGACAAAGCTCAGGAGAGGTCACAGGACTCACCAGGGGAGGGGGAGGAGACATTTTCTTTGGGAATTGCTGGGGACATGCAAAGCTTTCTGAACTCGGCACAGGGTCGAGGACATGCCCGGATCATCTGCAGATGAGGGTCTGATCACTTCATCTTTGAGGACACTTGGTAGATTTGCTGCTGGCACTCCTGGGGGTTTCCATGGCAGGATCCACCACTGCTCCCATGGCAGGATCCACCACTGCTCCCATGGCATCCGGATCCACTGCTGCCATGGCATCCAGATCCACTGCTCCCATGGCATCCGGATCCACTGCTCCCATGGCAGGATCCACCACTGCTCCTGTGGCATCCAGATCCACCACTGCTGCCATGGCATCCAGATCCACTGCTCCCTTGGCATCCGGATCCACTACTCCTGTGGCATCCGGATCCACCACTGCTGCCATGGCATCCAGATCCACTGCTCCTGTGGCATCCAGATCCACCACTGCTCCCGTGGCATCCGGATCCGCTGCTCCTGTGACACCCTTCACTGCTGTGGCAGGAGGATCGTTCCTGCTGGTGGCACTGGTCTTTGTCCTGGCGGGAGCACATCCTTGGAGACCTGCTGGGAAGACTCATCTTTGAGTGAGTGCCACGGCAAAGAACACTGGAAGTGCCCAAGGCTGGGTTGGAAGGGGCTTGGAGCAACCTGGGCTAGTGGAAGGTGTCCCTGCCCATGGCAGGGGGTGGAACAAGATGATTGTTAAGGCCCTTTCCCACCCAAACCATTCCATGATTCTGTGATTATAATCCAGGTTCTTGAAGAAGAGAGAAAAATTAGCAGCCCATGTCTGCCCGTGCTGGTCCTCTGGGCAGATCTTTCCCTTCTGTGTTTAGCAAACACATCAGAGAGAAGTTAAAACTCCCAGGGATGAGTGAGAAGGGGTGGACAGAGTCCCGAGGAGTCCTCAGCCATCTGAGCCAGCAAGTTTTATGTTTTCCAACTTACTTTTTGTTCTTTATCTACAGAAATGGATGAAGAAGACAACGAGGCAGAAGGTCTGAGCCAGAGACAGTCACAGGGATGGGACACAGGAGGCCAAGAGCTCGGGGTCGGGGCAGGGCTGGTGAGCATCAGAGGTGCCAAAGGTTGATGAAGCTGCACTTACCCCGTTCAGCAGGAGCTCAGAGGAGACGTGAGGCCGAGGCGATGAGGAGCGAAGGGGCGCGAGGGCTTTTATAGGGCACCCCGTGTGTTCCCTCCGGAAACCAGATGGGGCCCCACTGGAGGGACTTGCTTGTTCAGCACCCCGAGCACTTTGCTAATTGGGAGTTTTTGCCCTGCTGATTTGACTCATGGTGCTGGGAGCAGATCGATATCCCGCCGTTCCCCTCGTTACTCCAGAAAAATGTTAATTGCCCACCACGCCTGGCTCGGGACGGGCAGGTTTCTGGATGGCCTTGTTGCCTTTGACTGCACAATTTACCTGTTTCTTGGGCTTAATGCAAAGCAGCCACGAGCCCAAACTGGGAAGGGACAAATATTAGGGGAAGGTGGGATTGTGGGGTGGGCTGGTGGGCTGGGTTGTGAAGGGAACCCAAAAATGAAAGGGAAAGGGAACAAATGAGGCTGTGGGGGTGTGTGGTAAAAATAAACGTATTTGGTCAGTGTGGGAAAAAAAGAATCTGGGTTGTGAGTGGGTGAAGGAGACAAAGGGGATTAGGGCTGCAGGTATGAGGGTGGCAGCAGGGGATCACAGAGCCTGGGGCTGGTCTGTGTGGGGGGTGACCTGAAAACAAGGACTGTGTCCTCCAGGAGCCCCTGGGCCAGCACTGGGGCTCGGTCCTGGGGGGTTACAAAGGCAGTCAAGTCACCCCTGGGCTCTAAAGCTCTCACTGAGGTTTGATTTGGGGGTTTAGAGGTGGGACATGGCAAGGTGAGGCTTTGCATCAAACTCCTGCTGACCGTGGGAGTGGGCGAAGGCAGGAGGGGGGACATGGGCAGGGAGCAACACCAGAGACCCCTAATTCTGAGTAAAACCAGCCAGGAGGCACTGAAAGGAGCCTTGCAAGAGTCCAAGCCAGTCTTTTCATTACTCAAGGGCTTTTAAGCCAAACAGAAGGAATTTAAAGCTCCACAGGAGCCCAAGAGCATCCAGGCTGGAGGGGGAGGACATTGGGATCAGCATCTTCACTGATTTAATGCTCTGCTTGGGGGAGAAAAGTGTCTTTCTGCCTATGGATCTGCCCAGGGCTGATCTCAGCCAGGACTCTAGAGGCCACTGTAATATTAATAATGGCACAGATTGAATTGGAATTAAAATGCAGAGTCGAGGAGACTCATCAGCCCCCAGAGGAGCTGAATCACCTGAAGCAACTGAGAGATGAGGAAACCGGAACGTGACTCGGGATATTTCACAAACGTTGGGAGAACAAAAATCCTTGTGAAACTTGGATCCACGAGCCATTCCAGCTCAGGTCACGTGGATGGGGAGAAACCTGTTCATCCTTTCTGTCGGCGACAGAGGCCCCTGAGCGTGGCCTGGCGGGGAGGACACTCGTGGGAGACCCTGACAGGACCACATTGACCCCTCGGCTGGTCTCTGAGCCCTCACATCTCCTGCAAAGCTCCTGCTCTTCAGGAGAGGCTTCCCTGAGTCCCCTGACAATATTTTGAGTGGATGGTGGCTTTTTTTGGGGGGTAATTTGTTGGGTTTATGGAAGGAGTTGCCTTTGGGATGTTGCAAGGACGGCCTGTGGTGGTGTTGGGGCAGTGTGTGGCCACCTCTAAACCCTCCACCCCAGGAAGGTGCCCTTGCACCTGTTCCTGCTTCTTTTCCTTATTCAGGTGGTGCTGCAGGAGAAATCTCCCCCATTAGTGGTGGGAAGCAGCTGATTCCGTGATGTGTCACGTCCTGGGGGCTGGGCCGGGCAGGACAGGGGAGATGGAGCTGAGGGAGGCTCTCACCTGGGTTAGGTGAGGTGCCAGGAGCCTCCGAGGACACGGTGCTGTGTCACCGGCTCCAGATCCCTGCTTTGCTTCAGAAATCCTCCCTGGTGATTCCTCTCCCAGCCCCACCAGGCCTTATCTAACCAGGAGTTCAGGGCCTTTCACCCTGTTAGAGCCATTCCCGAATTCTCTCCCTGACTTTTTTCCCAGGGCTTTTTTTTGGAGGTTTGTGGTGCAAGTCCAGCTGTTCCCGTTGCCTCATGGGTGGATGAAATGAAGTGCCAGGCAGACCCTCTCATTTTTACTTCTCTGATGAAATGTGGGGTTTTTTTCCATGACTATATTGCTATTTAATTATTGTGTTGCACAAACATGATGAAAACTGTTATTTCCTCCCAGCAAGGAAGTTGGCCAGAGGAGGAATCAAAAGACATCGGGTTGAACCAAGCAGGAGCCTCATGAGGGTGCAAACACCAGCTCTGGCCACCTGAAGGACCAGAAGCAGCTCGAAAGGATGAAGTGGAAAACACTGATGCCAAGGGGGGTTTTGAGCCATCATTTTTTATTGCCTCCACGTCTGCTGTGAAATAAGGAGGGGAAGAGCATTTAATATTTCACAGAGACCGTGGGTTACGCCTTCAAAGCACGTTACAAGCAAGATGACAGAGCGGAGCCCCATGAGCAGCACAGGACGTGGGGCCCATCAGAGGGTGCAGGAGTGAGACGTTCCCTTCATTTGTCCTCACTCCTCTTGGCTTCTACTTTATCTTCCGGGCTGGAATTTTGCAGACTTGTTTCTGCTGCTGCCTTGGGATGCCCTTTGGCACAGGCACACAGCCTTGCTGGATTTGAGGGGGACAGACCTGCACCGGAGGGGGACAGACCTGCACCGGAGGGGGACAGACCTGCACTGGAGGGGGACAGACCTGCACTGGAGGAGGACAGACCTGCACTGGAGGAGGACAGGTCTGCACTGGGACACACTTTGGGGCACACTTTGGGGCACTCTGTGGGATGCATTTGGGGCTGCTCTGCGGGACACACTGTGGGATGCACTGTGAGGCCTTCCCATAGCTCACCTTGCCCCCCTGGTACCCCGAGCCGTGGCACGTCTCTGAGCACACCGACCTGCCGTAGCCCTGGCACCCCCCTGACGACCCCGAGCTGTACGTGGGTCTCCTGACACAGCTCGAGCCCCCTCCGTGGCACGAGCCTGCTGATCCCTGGCACCTCTCGGAGCAGACGGACCTCCCGTAGCCCTGGCAGCCCCCCGAGGAGCCGTAGCTGTAGGTGGGTCTCCGGACGCAGGCGGAGCCCCCGTGGCAGCACTCGGAGGAGCCGTAGCCCTGGCACCTCTCGGAGCAGACGGGCTGCCTGTAGCCGTAGTGCCGGTAGTCGTGGCCCCTCATGCCCTCGACGCCCTCGCCGTCGCAGCCCGAGGAGCAGCAGTTGGCGTAGCCGTAGCGGAACGGGGTGCGCCGGGTGTCCAGCCACGACCCCGAGGGGTCGTACCAGGTGGAGTTCAGGTTGAAGTAGGATTCTCTTCCAGAAGAGTAGATCATTGCTGAGCTGCAGGGAAAAACCTGGAAAACAGCAGGCTGCTGTCACGATCTCCTCTGGTTTTGTTTCACTCCCCGTAAAGCCTCGTCAGTGAGATGTGACCAGGTCACACCCGACTATCCTGAGGGTCTGGGTCTAAAGGAAACACCTGCAGCTGCCCAGTGCCGGTCAGATTAAGTCCAAACCCTCTTTTTGACCTTCCCCTTCATTTTTTTTCCCTCCAGGAACAGAATCAACCATAAGACACCATGTGTGTAAATCCCACACCCTCAAGAGCTTCTTTCTTGGCTTAGCCCGTAGTGCCAATCCCACACCCAGGTCTCCCAACAGCTTCTGTCTTGGCTTAGCCCATCATTCTTGAAAGTTCAAGTGTAACAAGTCAGGTCTGTGACCTCCTGAATCCAAACCCCATCCAAAAATGACCCAGGACTGTGTCTTACCCCGTTCCCAAGGGAAGGCAGGCGCTGACCAGGGGAGCAGATTGTGACAGGCAAAGGGACCGGGGCCTTTTATAGGGTTCCAAGTCTTCCCCTCATAAATGAAACACTCTGCAGGAACGAGGATTAAATTATTTATTGGCAAAACATCTCCTCCATTTGGATGCTGTTCCCATGTCCTGCTTGACTCACGATTTCTGATAAGCATCTTTTAATTACCCAGCGGGGCACATAAAAGACTTACAGCGTTTAAGGCACACATTGTCGTGTGAGGCAGGTAATAAAGTACTTATTCACCATCTCCAGAGCACCAGGACACTGAGTGGAGGCTGATGTGTGAGCTGTGAGTCAGGAGCCACGATGTGCCCAGGCTCAACAACCCGGCCTTCCCTTTCTGCTGCCCAGGAGGGACATTTCCAGGAGGTGCCTGAAGCACAAACAGGTGACTGGGAAGAGCCAGCTCAGAGTCACCAAAAGTAAATTGTGCTGATGGGTTTCGGTGATGAAGAGGTTGGTTCTGTGCAGGGGGAGGCCCTGGCACAGGTTACCCAGAGAAGCTGTGGCTGCCCCATCCCTGGAAGTGTCCAAGGCCAGGCTGGAGCAACCTGGGATAGAGGAAGGTGCCCCCATGGCAGGGAGTGGAACAGGATGATCTTTAAGGTCCCTTCCAACCTAAACCATTCCAGGATTCCATGTGCTGGTTTAGACAGGATATTAGGAAGGGGGATATTAGGATATTCCCTGTGAGGGTGGGGAGGCCCTGGCACAGGTTATTCCATGGATTCCCCATCCCTGGAAGTGTCCAAGGCCAGGCTGGACAGGGCTTGGAGCGACCTGGTCTTGTGGGAGGTGTCCCTGCCCATGGCAGGGGGTTGGAACTGGATGATCTTTAAGGTCCCTTCCAACCCAAGCCATTCCAGGATTCCATGAGTGTGATGGGTGGTTTTTGGCACAGTTTCCCACGGCAGCCTCGTGGACTGGACTGTCCATCCAGTGTGGACTGGATGGATGAACTACATGGTGGGTGAAAAACTGGCTGACACTGGTGCTGGTCCTGTTTGAGATCTTTATTAATACCCTGGATAATGGGGTGGACTTGGCAAATCTACAGGTGGCACCAACTTGGGGTGAGGGGCTGAAACTGCTGGAGAAACGGTCCTGTGGCTGGGCTGGACTGGGATGGACTGGGAGGGCTGGGCTGGACTAACTGGGCTGGACTAACTGGGCTGGGAGGGCTGGGGTGGCAAGTGAAAAGCAGTTTGGAAGATAAGATGGACCAAAGCTGACCTGGAAATGCTGGTCAGGGCTAAACTCAGTCTGTGGGCTCTGAGTCAGTGCACTGGGCCAGTGCCTGGGAACTGGGAAGAAAACAGCTAATAAAATAAGGGATCTCCTAAGTTAGATTTCATATATAAGTGGTGTTTTGTTTGGGTAAAATTAGACATGAGAAAAATAAATTGTTGTGGTGAAGAAAAAAAAGAAGAAACTCCTTTTTCCCTTTCCAGTTTTCCTTGGGGGTTCTGCGAGGACACGCTTGAGCAACACACAGAAGCAACATTAGATATTTTAATGCACCTTGTGGGAGGCTTTTCTGGCAAAGTGAGAGAGAAAAAGCAGGTTTGCAGCGCCTGTGAGAGCCGGGGAGCTGCGGGGGAAGAGCCGGGGCTGCACCGTCCTGCGGGAGTGAAAAGGCATCCCTGGCACGCACAGCCACACCTCACGTGCCGGGCCACGCGCTCATTAAGCTGATTAGCATTTAAATGAGGGTGTTGTGGCCGCGCAGGGCTCTCTGGGTGAGGAAGGTGCTGGAACGCTCACGGAGGTGACTGTTTGTACCTCCGTGTGCACCGCAGAGGATCCATCCCGCGGTCCTGCGGTGGGTGAACACGGCGGGGAGGATTTTCCTGGTGAAACCCCTTCGGCCAGAGCTGAAACCCTCAGGTGTGAACCCTAATTTTGACTTGGAAGTTTCCTCGTGAGAATTTTAATGGCTTTTAACATCTCGTTGTAACGTTGGTGATGTTTTGGGGGGTTAAAAAAAAAAAGGAACCAAGTGTCTGCTAATTTTTTTTCAGCTTTATTCTCTAATACACGGGGAGAAAATAAATGTGCAGGAGTCCCTGATGCTTCTGCAGTCACAGTGGTTACTTTTTTTCCCAGTAAAGTCCTGTTGCTGTTTTCAAACATCTTTGAAATCAAAGTCCGCTGAACCCACGGGAGAAGGTGAATCCGTGGCAGGATGTTCCTCCATCTCCAGGTTGCTCAGACGAGGGAAGAAACAGCTTCTCTTCCCCAAGGAAGACCAAAGCCCGGCAGGGGAGGGCACTGGGAATTTAAAGTGTCAGTGCTGGGGCCGAGCAGGGGGTTGGGACCCCAAATCTGATGTGCAAAGAGCAGCAATGAACCTTCAGCCACGGGAGCATCATTTGGGCAAGGAGTGGAACCCCCCCAGCACTGACTGGGGACACGCTGGGGAGGGGTCCCAGATGCTGGGGAAGGGTCCCAGACCCCGGGGAGGGGTCTCAGACCTCAGTGAGGGGTCCCAGCACCTCACTGTCCCCGTGCTCAGCACTTCTGCACACAGGGTGGCAAGAGAGTGACCTGCTTTTGCTGGTGGTGGCAGGGGCGTGGTGGCAGGGGGATGGGGGCCGGGCAGCAGCGCTGGAGGGGTGGGTGGCACCTCTGGACAGGTGGGGGGCACCTCTGGACAGGTGGATGGCACCTCTGGACGGGTGGGGGGCAGCGCTGGACGGGTGGGGGGCAACACGGGCCGCAGGGGTGGCGATGGGGCAGGGGCAGGGGCTGCAGGACCACGGGGGGACTGTCATCCTCGGGGGGACACTGCTCCACCCTCCTCCTGGGCTTGCTGCAGGACTCCTGGTCCTGGCAGGGCGGGGAGGGCCGGTACTGCTGCAGGGGCCGGCGGTGGATCCTGGCGGGCGGGGGGCACGCGGGGGCCGTGTGGTTCACCTCCACCCGCCGGCGGGGCTGGCAGCTCTGCTGGGCTGGGCACGGCTCGGGGGGCTGGCAGCCCTGGGGAGCGCTCTGGCAGGACCCATCAAGGTCATGGCTGAGGCTCCCGGGGCTTTCGTGGCAGCTCCCGCTGGATCTGGGCCATGTCCAGCCCTTCCCGGCACAGCCCGAGCTGTCGTGGCACAAGTCCTGGTCGCTGAGGCCCTTCTGGTGCTGCATCCTGGGGCAGAGATCACGGAATCATTCCCAGAATCCTTGAGGTTGGAAAAGCCTTCCAAGGTCACCCAGTCCCCCCTGTGCCCCATCCCCACCTTGGCCCCAGCCCAGAGCACTCAGTGCCACAGCCACTCCTTCCCTGGGCACCTCCAGGGCTGGGCACTCCCCCACCTCCCGGAGCAGCCCCTGCCAAGGCCTGAACACCCTTTCCAGGGGGAAATTCCTCCTCATGGCCAACCTGACCCTCCCCTGGCACAGCTTGAGGCCGTTCCCCCTCCTCCTGTCCCTTGTTCCCTGGGAGCAGAGCCCGACCCCCCCCCGGCTCCCCCCTCCTGTCAGGGAATTCCAGAGCCAGAAGGTCCCCCCTGAGCCTCCTTTTCTCCAGGCTGAGCCCCCCCAGCTCCCTCAAGAGTTCTCCTCAGGTGACTCACAAGCCATATGATCAAGCCCTCGGGAATAAACCGTCTGGGAAAAAGCAACCAAACCACAACTCCTTTTTTTTTGCTGTTTCTGTGAAAAAATAGTGAGGAACCTGAGAGAGCTGAGAGAATCCAACTCACCCTGGGAGCGGGACGGACGGGCTGGGCAGGGAGTCGGAGTCCTGGGGACAGAGCTGGGGCTGAAAGCTTTTATATGTGGCCGAGGTCTCTTGGGAATGAGACATGCCCTGGGAATGAGGAGCCGAGCTCTGCCACGGCCATGTGTGTGTTTTGTTCTGGCACTTGCTGTTGGATTAATCAGCCCCAATTAGCATCTCCCTCGGTGGAACGTCAGCTCAGCTCCTTTGCATGTGCAGTGGCCCATTATCTAATTAGTTCTCCCACTGGTCATGCTCAGATGTGCTGTTACCTCCTGTCAGTCAGATGGGATCCTGGGATAAGGATACCTGGAATACCGGGATGCTGAGTGATGTGCCCAAAAGGAGACTCTCGTGGCAGTGGGAAAACCACAGGAAGGCCCAGGAGTCCTTCCAGGGCACGGGGAGGGAATCCAGGGTGACATCAGGACCATGAGGAACAGCAGGTGTTGCTGCCCTGTGTGTGACTGGAAGACTTGAGCCCCAAACCCAGGATCCCTCCGGACACCAGGAGCAGGGATGGACCAGGGCAGGCTGGGGATGGGATGTTTATTCCCTTATTTAAATGAATTCATTCCCTTCCAGGTCAGGAGCACCTCGGCCAGGTGAGTGACTACGGCAAGGAAAAGCCTTTTATGTGTGGAAAATCTGGAATGAGGGCAGCCAGAGGAGCAGTGACCTCATGGACCATTCCAGCATGTCCACCTTTCTGACATTTTCCTTTGACCCATTTTCAGCGCAGCTGCTCCGTTTTGCATTTCTGTGGACGGGTCGAGGCATTTTTAAGGACTGGGAAAAC